ACTGGTCAGAGGCACCTGACTCGCGTATTGAACCTCAAGAAGGTTGGATTGAGTGGGGGCGCAACATGCAGACGTCTAACATATTTGTGCCGACTCTTCGGACTGTGCAAGACGCAAAAACGGGAGCCGCACCCTGGCCACCCGTTGCTCAGGACACCGGTGTGGACGCCACAGGGCGCAGCCCTCGTGGACGCCCACCAGTTGCTTGGGCTGATCGCTTTGTGACGCGCCCTGCTCGCGCATCCCAGTCTGTCAACAGGCGCAACAAAATGTGTGCCAATCGCCCTCTCAGTGCGGTGAAACCTGTCGCCGGTCAAACCGTGACGACAGGTGACGAGGGGCCCGCAGCTGTGACTCTTGATTTTACCGCCGTCTGCGGGTCCCAGACCCAGCAGATGCTTGACGGAAAGATTGATCTCGATCTGCCCAATGGACTGGTGTACCCTCACCGTGATGATGACTCGTTAAGCATCGCAATGACGAAGACAGATGCCATTGAGGTGGCTGCACAATACGTTATGGAGTACACGTGCTATCGCCCCGACACGAGCGCGACCGACAGGTTGCGCCCGACGGGGGAGATGACACATGATGTCCCTGACGATGTGCGTGCGACTATTGAGTGGAATTGGAAGATTCCTGTGACAGACCTTGAGCTAGGTCTCCGTATAATACGCGTGATTGTGATCGTCCGAGAACTCATTAGTTGCTTTATTGCTGAGGGGTATTATATTGGATACCCCTCGGAGGGTTTCCTTGCTCGCGACGCAGACGCAGGGTATGATGATGAAAAACGCCTCGCGGACGCATGCGCACTTGATTGCTGCATTCGCGCGGCTGTGGAGACAGATGATCTCATTGGGGAATGGGCCCGTGATATAGGCAGACAAGGTCTTGCGGAGATCCGTCGCCAGGGCGTGAAGCTTCAAGAAGCTGTCTTCTGGTTATACCCGTGCGTTGAAGCTTCTGAGCTCCAAGACATGGATGAAGGTCCTTTTCATATTGCCTGCGGCAAACTTGGCGCTTTTATTGCTAGTACCGCAAGAGGTATTGTGAGACATGCGAAAATGCAGCATGCGACGCGTCTTCGTGCGGAGGGAAGCGCTGGTAGGCCTTCCGACGGCCCAGCCGGTTCGGAAGGGCCTCCTGCTGCGAAAGCACGGCCAAGCCCTGCTGTTCGCCCTGATCCGCCTCCTCCGCCCCGGAGGCCCGACGTCCAAAACGATCGGGCCAACGATGATGTTACCGGGTCTCCTTACTCCGCCGGCGGTCAAACTGGCGCGGCGAGAGAAGAGTATTCGTGGCGTTCTTCTGACGGCGACACATGGGATTGGTCAATGTCCGCGCGCGCGCGCGCCGGGGCCATGGCTGCCGGACGCGCTGCTGATGAATGCAACCCCGCGATCCACTACCCGAAGTACAAGGCGGACGTATTGCAGGGGTACTGGATCCACCGTGACGTCATATACTGGATGAATCCCAGAGAAAACAAGAGTAGCGTGTGGCACTTTGTGCTCCCCAACGACTACGACTACTACTTCTGGCGAGAGAAGAGTAAAGGATACGCCAAGAACAAGGACAAGGACAAGTACAACAGGCCAGCTCCCTATGTTGGCCGTGGTAGAGGAGGCAGGTCAACTTCGCCTTATTGGCCCGCTGACCAGACGGGAGGTTCATCGTCTTCGCACCCGAAACCTCCGTCTCCGCCTTCGGGGCGGTTCCTCTAGTGCGACAAGTGAGGGCATGCAAAGGCCGTGCGACAAAGTCGTTTCGGCAGAGAGATTTTATTTAACTATTGGTGGGATTCGTCGTTTTTTCTCCGGCCCTCAGCCCCCTGGCAACCACCGTTGAGCGGTAAAATGCTTTTGGGGTTCGCTCCGGTGGCTGTATATATGTACACGCCGGGCGGGCTGTGGCTGGTTGGGCTCTGCGAAACCCGCCGCGGGGGGAGTAAATATGCTCCTCTCCGCCTCGTCTTGCACTTGCCTCTCTTGCTGCCTGCCTTGTCATACCTTGACTGTACTTTGACTGCTGCATTCAGCCGCCGCTTGCTACTCGAGTAAGAAAAGGAGCGAGCTGGCCTTCGTCCGCGCTCGTCGTCGGTCGTCGGCCGGCCAGACCTCCTCCCTTCCCATGCTTGAGTGCATTTGCTTAACGGATATATTGTTGTTTCGTCCACGTCTCATTCCGTATCCTCTACCACTGAGCAGAAACAACATGAGACGTTAATTCCTTTGACATCTTACCCCGATTCTCAGAGGAAAGACTGGGTCGCGCCCCTCTGGCGCCTGGCGTCGCGCGTGCAACGCCAGGGGTGGCGGGGACTTTTACACGGAGCGGCAAGGATTCCCTCCCGCCCATCCCGTCCCATGGGGTAGCAAAGACCCTATGTAAGAAAACCTCCCGGAATATGAAGACTGGGGTGAGAAGAAGGGGGAAGCCAAACCCAGGGGGTGGTCGGTGAAGGGGGCTGGTTAGGGTGACGCAGCGAGGCCACGACGCCCAACGGCACTGAGAACCAGCAGCCGCCTTTCGCGATGAATAAATCCTCTGGCGCATCAGCGCGGTCGAAGACGGTCTGGTCAACAAGTCCTCTGGTGTGCAATGCCGGGGTAAGCGCTGGGCCTGGAGGCGCGGATAGGTTGGTGCACGCAAAGGAAGACTCCAGGACGTCGTTCGCCATCTACTTTCGCCCAAGCGCCCAAATCGCTCGACACCTAGCATCCACCGTGTAGCGCAGACGAAGTCCGACTTCTTCCGCGCTGAAAGAGTGGAGAGCCACCTCGGTGACCAAGGGATTAGCGACGGCCTCGTCGTGCCCGCAGCGGAGGCCGTTGACCGACGCGCTGGCGAGCTCGCCGCGGCAGGCGCACGCCTCCGCCAGCTGCTGCGGGACGTGGCGGAAGCGGCTAAGTGTCGCCATGAGTTTACGGCCGTGCTCTATGGTGCGGCGGTGGCCATCTACGACCGTCGTCACCGCGCCCAGCCCCTCCCAGGCCGGCCAGCCGAGCACGCGAGGTGTGATCCTTTCTGGTGTTCCTCCTCCAGGCCCACCAGGGTCGCCTGGACCTGGTTCCCTGGCCCACCAGGCCCGCCAGGGCCCGTTCATTTCGACTACCTCGACGACCCCTGGGATTCGACGCTGACGACGAAGGCCCGTTCGGACTCGGCGGAGCTGTAGGCAATGACGGCGACGCGGCGGCGCCGATCTCGCATGCTTCACCCCGCGGCCCACCAGGGCCCGCTGGCCGCGATGTGCCCGCCTCTGACGGGGAGGATGTCGACGAAACGTACGACGGCGACGACGAATATTCACTCGATCTCGGGGGCTCCCTCCACAAAGACAAGCCTTACGGCCGCCGGGTCTTGCCTCCAGGCCCTGATGGGCCCCTGCCCGACCCCCACGGGGCTAATTGAGCCTTGGCTGTACCTGGGCCCACTCCCAACTGCCTCCTGGGAGAGGTCACGCGCGTGGATGACAAGGGGTCGCAGACCGTCGCTGGGGGCGAGGATGCGCACTCGCCTGCGACGGGGCCGTCGCCCCCAGCCGTGGTGCTGCCCAGTTCCATCGAACACCTGTCATCCCCCCTCCGTGCTTCCTGCCACCAGGCAAATGCCCCACCACGCCAGGGGACATGCGGTCTGGACAGCGATCCCCCCACCCACCAGGGAACTGGGGATCCCCCTAGGGGCGGTCGTTCGCCTCCCGACCGGCGCCGTGCCCTCAACCACTGCTTCGCGGCGCACCGTCACCAGACCGCCCGTGAGTCGGTTTTCCGTGCCAGCATCACCGCGCTCCAAGAGCGCCCCGCGCTCTTCGTGCATACGTTTCGTCGCGCGCAGGAGCAGTCGGGGCCCATCCTCGCAAGGTTCCACCGAGCCCAGTCCGCCTGGGATGCCACCCACTCGGCGTCTCCACCGCCTCTGCCCCCCGGAGCCCCCTTCAATTAAGTCATCCGGGCGCGACCTGATGCTCACCGCCACAGCTGCAGCCGCTAGCTCCCTTTTCACCCGCGTCCCGTCAGAACGCCTGGCACCACGTTCCACCCATCACGCCTTGGGTTGCGGTGGGGGGTGCCCCTCCGCGACGCCTTCTTGCAAGCCCCCAGAGGCGCGCATGCTAAAACGTGCTGTGCCTGGGCCTGGGCCTCCTTTCACCGTGGGCGTGCAGATCGGAGTGCCACTTCTGAATTGCCATGCAATGGCCTGCTCTGCTTTCCAGTCGTAGTCCCCAGCAAACCGCGCTGGGGGGGAGGTTTCTCTCGCCACCCCCATTACGTATTTGCGGCACCTCCTGCCACATTGGGTGGTTGTAGCGTGGCGCTTGTAGCCCCGCGCCTGCACACGCGGTGTTCGAATCGTTGCGCTCTCCTCCTCTCTCCTCCCCTCCTCCTTTTCCTCGGGCACCCTCCTCCTCCTCCTCCTCCTCCTCCTCCTCCACCTCCCCTTGGGAGGGAGGTGTGGAGGACTGCCCCTGGTTTTCCTGTCATCTCCCTCCACTGCTGGGAGGGCCTCTGAGTCTGGACATTCTAACACCATGCAGTTTGGTTGAGACTCCAGTGTTTTTTTGAATTTGCATTGCACGCAAGGAGCATATAGCGTAGAGCGAAAGCTTTCACGTTGACTGTCCAGACTCATCTGCGCGAGCTCGCACGTGCGTCTTTGGCTGTAAGTGGCTCCTGGCCGAGACCTTCATCTCTGAATCCTGAGTCCACCTCCTCCAGATGCCCCTGGGCGGGGCCAGTTCTCTCAGCCCGAGGTCGATTCCAGCCTTGCTCCCTGGAGCCTTTGCGCGAGATTTTCAGGCCTCTCAGCCTGCAAGACCAGTCAGTGGGGGATGGGGGGGGAGGGGCAGGACCCGCGCAGCGGCCCTCGCGAGGGCAGAGCCGCACGGCGGCCTCTCGACGGCGGCGTGCGGCGAGCGAGCGGCGTGTCCAGCGGGAGCGCCGGCGATGACGTCGTCGTTTCGTCGTGTCGTCGCAGCGTCGTGCCGGCCGCAGGTCCAGGCCAGGACGACCAGAGCGACGGCCTCGTCGTGGTGGAGTTCTCGGGCCGAGAGGTGGCGCACAGCTGTTCGCTGAACACGGCTTCGAAGACCTTGCATCTTCTGCAGTGGTCTCCCCTCGGCACCTTCCTCGTCGTGCAGCCCGCGCAGAGGAGCTCGCCAGCCTCCATGACTTTCTCGAAGACCCAGACAATAACAGGGCGCATTCAAACTCCACCGGTCCGATTCGGATAGACTCGATGCAGGTATTCCGATACATGAGTCCGATTTCGAGTTCACCCGATCCGGCGAGTCGCCGATTCGGATGCCAACCGATTTGATTGATTTTGTGTCGATCTGGCGTCAATCCGCTCCCTATGAGGTAAGACGAGTAAGAAAAGTAGGAGCGCGAGGACGACGGGCACCTGCGCGAGGGATCGACCCCCAGTCCTTGCAACCCGCCTCGAGGATGGTTTGGACCGCAAAGCCACCCTGGAGGAGGGCTGGGCCGAGCACCCCCTTGCCGCAACCTCTGCCGTACGGGTCGTGCAAGCTTCCACCGTAGTGTGCCATGGCAGGATGTGGCGCAGCGCTGTCCGCTACTTGGCTGGCCCCCCTCGGAGGGAGGTTTGGGGTTGCCAAGTTCCAGGCCCCTCCTCGAGGGGGTCCCACGACGGGGCCCCCGTCCACTCGCCAGGCCCGTCGCGCGCGTCATGCCCGTCGTGCCCTGTCCCCTCCTCTTCCTTTTTGGCGGCCCTGGGAGGAATACGACGGCGAATGCGACGATGTACGACGACGGTCGACGACGAGTTCGACGAGTACGATGACGAATGCGACGAACTTCGACGATGTTTGGCGGCAAGCGCGACGATCTGTGACGACGGGTGCGATGACACACGACATGTGCCTGCCGATTTCGATGCCGATCTGGCGTCAGTCTTGCGGTTTCCAAATCGATCCGGCTGGGCCCTGCCGATGATTGCCGATTCGATGTTCGGATCGATCCGATTCGACTTATCGACTCGACGCCAGGGCCACTTGCAGCGTGGCTCTCGCGCGCGCTGCAGCTACGACTGTTTCTAAAGTGGCACCCAGTGCATGTTTGAAAGGCAGGTTTGATGGGCAGGCTTGCACGTTTGAAAACTGCTTCTACACAGCAACGAGAACATATGCTTGAGCAAATGCATCCCGCATCGAGAGGAGCCTTAGGGGCCATGAGTGGATGTGACGCGCCCTCGCAGAGCGTGGTGCCCTGAGGTCGGTGCCCCGCACTCGGTGACATGGTGCTGCGAACTCGGGGACGGGGGATGTGTTGGATAGTCCTGACTCAGACGTCCAGGAGGAGCCCAGAGAGCAGGAGTGGGAGGGGAAGGGGACGGGTGGGGGGGGAGCCAGGCCCCTGGTGGAGGAGAACAGTGGGCTCGCCCTTTTCTTTTGCTGCCTGGCGCATGTCCTCGAATCGCCCCCCTCTGGGCTGCCGCTTGGCTCTGGACTCTCTCGGCCTTGACTGGTGGGTAGCTTCCTCCCGCGCTCCTCCTGTTACCTGCTCCTGCCCCTGCTGCTGCTGCTGCTGCTGCTTCTGCTGCTCCTGCTGCTATCGCTGCCGCTCCCGCGGCTCTCGCTGGTGCTGCTGCCGCTCCTCATTCCCTCTTTTGTTTTTGGTCCTGGTCCTGGTCCCTGTCCTGGCCCTCCCCATCACCCGCTCCCTCACTGGCCCTCCCCTCTCCCTCACTTTTTTTTTTTTTTTTTTTTTTTTTTTTTTTTCTCTCTCTCTCTCTCTCTCGCCCTCTCCAGGAAAACCCTCTCCCTCTCCCTCTCCCTCTCCAGTCTCGGCTCGAATTCCTTCGGGTACAGGTGCAGCCACATACTCGAAACGCCCAGCACTTCCGCTGAACGCATCGCGAGACTAGACACACGCCACTTCAGCGTGGGACTGATTCGAGTCACCTCCCTTCAGTTCCGCGCGCGTGCCGCTGCTCCAAAAGGTCCACGCAGTGCGCCTTCTGCACCACCGCAGCCCAAGCCACCAGGCAAAGGCCGCCTACAGGCAACCTTAACTGATCGCCAGGTAGCAACCTGATTCGGAAGGAAGCCTGCGTCGTCGCACTCCAGAGCAGTGGTGGCGTCGATAGAACAGTCGCTGCACACAACGAATTCGCTCACCAGGACCAAACCGAACTGGACACCACTAACCAACAACATCGCTCCGACCAGCGCAAGCTCAGGGGAGAACTGATGAGACTATGCGGGACAAGCAGGGCCAGTTGCACTATGCTGCGCTACTCCCTGACGCACAAGACAGGCTTCAACCGTGATCCACCGGGTCCATTGCCTCAGCCGGCGCCCACCAGGGTAACAGCACCGCCCCACCCATCAGCCTGGATGCACCAAGCTGGGATGCCCCCGTCGCTCCTGGACGGCACATCGTACGCCAGCCGCATCTCCCTTCACGCGCTAGAAGAGGGGAAGAGGGCAGCCGCCTCCTGAAACAAATGCGCCGCCAGGACAAATCTCTCGCATTAGCCGTCCTGGAACCAACCAACACTGATTCCCCAGGGAATAATCCGCATCTCTGTCCTCCGTGGGACGGCTAAGACTACCAAGCCCGCGCCAGGACACATACAGGGAACCATGTGCCGATTGGGCCGCAAAACGTTGTCCAGGACACTCTCGATCCATCAGACAACGTTATCTGGATCCGTGAAGACATATGCGAAATTGACGCGATCGCAGTCACGCCAGCGCTCGAGTATCTGTTCACCTCCCAGTTCTCGGGAGCTGCTCCAATCAGTGGCACGTATACCAGGCGGAGCGGGCACGGCTCAACAAAAGGCAAATTAACGCCACAAGTCTATCAAGCGTGACACGGCGTGCCATCACCTGGACCAATACCTCACATATGCCTCCACAGCCATCTGCAGTTCTCACTTCCGCACCGTGCGAACTCAGGAGCCTATGAAGCTGCTGGGTCGACGTGGCACGGCCGTTGGTAAACGCAGGCCCGCAGCCACATGTGGCATCAAACCAGCTGGCGTCCCAATCGTCCTCGCCTCCTCTGGACAAGGTGGTTTTCAGTTCGATATAAGCTACCACGGTGCCAAGGGTCCAGCGCTCAGCGAGTACACCACGGTGTGGTACCGAGATGGCCAATCGACTACTCTCCAGGAGACAGGGCATCCGTGTCAAACCTGATGCTAACGAAGTCAAGCAAAGTCGCTCTCGAGTTCCGAGGACCCGATGCTGCACCGGCTGCCGCAAAATACAGTGTCACGGGCATCGAACCACATAGCGCCACTTGAACGCAAATCGCTACAGTCTTCAGGCCCATGAAATGGCGCTGCGAAGTCCAACGCGCAGGATGGGACAAGGCCATGAGCAGCCGAGACCCCGCCCAACACCACGGTCCGCGTCCAAGGATGTACCGTTCCTTGGGCCACAGATGGTCGAGACGGCCACCCGACACACCGAAGGGCCGACCGAAACGATCGCTTCACCAGGGACCATCGCTTCGGAGGTGCCCGCATTCGGGTTGCCACCAGGTGGGCCAGGCACTAACGCCTCGCCTTCTCTGCAGGACAGGGCGGCCACCAGGCCGTGCCACCGAGCGCTTCGGACACCGCCGACGGACCAGCAAAAAGGGTCATCGCCCTTCAGCACGTAGCCACCCGAGAAGAAGCAGCGCGGCGCCAGCGCCAAGAGAACAAACCAGCTCTCGCGCAGCGCAGCCAGACAGGCCACCGAGCCGACAGTGGGAGAAGCAAAGCCCAGCCCCGAAGCGGCTCCCCTGGCCCTTCGTGGCGCCGAGGATTGTGACAGGACAGAATGGGATCGGAGGTTTGGGGGGGAGTCCGACGTGAAACGGAGACCCCCCTACCGGGAAATCGATTTCGGTTTCGGGTTCGTGTCGTGTGTGCCGTGCGCGCGTGCGGGTGAGGCGAAGTTGCGTGGGCGGGCGCGAGGAAGTCCTCCTGTGGCCTGGGCCGCGGCCGGACCAAATGTTTCTCCTCCGGCGGCTGGTGTCCCGCTGGTGTCCCGAAATCCTCCTGTGGCTGGGCCGCGGCCGGACTAAATGTTTCTCCTCTGGCGGCTGGTGGCCCGTGGTGTCCCGCTGGTGTCCCGTGGTGTCCGCCGTTGCTAGGGAGAAGTCAAGACAAATGATTCTCCCCCTCCCGCCCGTCCAGCGGTGGCTCGCGGTGTCCCGCGGTGTCCCGTGGTGTCCAGTGGTGTCCCGTTGAATGAGATCGATAGTGAGATCGATAAGTTAGTGAGATCGATAGTGAGATCGATATGGTGCCCCGAGGTGTCCCGTGGTGTCCCAAAATGTGAGATCGCTAGTGATATCGATGGTGAGATCGACAGGTGTCCCGTGGTGTCCCGTGGTGTCCCGTCGAGTGAGATCGATAGTGAGATCTATAGTGAGATCGATAGTGAGATCGATAGTGAGATCGATGTGGTGTCCTGAGGTGTCCCATGGTTTCCTCTGGTGTCCCGTTGAGTGAGATCTATAGTGAGATCGATAGTGAGACCGATAGTGAGATCGAGAGGTGTCCCGCGGTGTCCCGTGGTGTCCAGTGGTGGCGCGTGGTGTCCCGTGGTGTCCTGTTGAGTGAGATCGATAGTGAGATCTATAGTGAGATCGACAAGTGTCCCGTGGTGTCCCGTGATGTCCCGTGGTGTCCCGTTGAGTAAGATCGATAGTGAGATCGCTTGAATCAGATGTTGGTTCCTCCCCCCCCTCTCCCCCCCCACAACCTCATGATCACCCGAAGGGTGGTCGTATAGGTGTGAAATACGAGGGCACCAGCACTCCGCCACTGTCCGCAAAAAGAGCGTCAAGAACCACCACGCTACGACGAATCTTCCGACGAATAACGGCTATCCGAACCAAACGCCCAGGGGATCTCCGATCACTGTCACACTGGGCGGCCGCGGGGGATGCCGCACGGCGGCGCCACGCTTCACTGAGGCACCGAGGCGCGCACGCCAAAGCGCGCCAGCAGTCGGCGCTGTCCTTTCGGGTGTGCAGAGGGTCCTCGAGTGGCTTGTTCACCATTTACCCGCTTTGCTTTCCGGTCGGGGTCCGTCCGACCGCGCCAGGGGGGAGGGTACCACGCCACCCCTGCTCTTTCAGCGCCGCCTCCCGCCTTGTGAGGCAGGCCCGCGCAGCCCTTCCCCGCTGCGGCGCCTGGACCAGACCTGGTTCGAACTTGTGCGATCTCCCTCTCCCTCGCCCTCTCCCTCTCCGCCTCCTTCCTCCCCTTCCCGCCTCTCCCTTTCTCTCTCCTCGTCCTTTACCTGTCCTCCTCCTCCTCCTCCTGCTCCTGCTCCTCCTCCTCCTCCTCCTCCTCCTCCTCCTCCTCCTCCTCCTCCTCCTCCTCCTCCTCCTCCTCCTCCTCCTCCTCCCCCCCCCCCTTCTTCCACCCACCCTTTCGGAGAAAAGGCCGGCCAGGAGCGGCGAGGACGATGAGATTTGGCGGCGGACCGAGGTTGGCGAGTACACCTGCGTGGCCAGCCTGCCCAGTTCCGCCAGTTCCGCCCAGTCCACATTCCAGTGGACCGCGGACGAGAAGTATTGCTGCCAGCTGCCCGCGGACGGGATTCCGCGCTTGACAGCGGGTGACGACATTCTGGAGACGCTCTGGACGCTTCCAACGGCGCGGCCGGCCCAATCCGTGGAGTTCGCACCGCCAGACACCAGGAGAGCCCCGCGACCACCCTCGGGGCTTGCCCTGGGCGATCGACTGCCGAGGTCGATTCGAAAGAAACATGTAGACGTACAAAAAGCTGAGGTATCCTCGTGGCCACTATTGTGATTTTTGTATTGTGCGAGCCTTGGCGGACGGGCCGTGCGTGGGGCGCCGTTGGGCTGAAGTTCTGCGGACGCCTTCTGTCTCTGCCCACCCTCGCCCTGGCCAGTTCGGGGCCTCCCCGTCCCCTCTTGGCCAGTAGTTAGAGCTTCCTGGGGATGGGGGTAAATCGTGCATTCTTGTTTCTCGTCGTGCGTGACGTGTGTGAGAAGCTGTGCGCCGGAGCGATGTTTCTTAGGGCCGGCCGAACCCTTGTTGTCCCGCTCCTGCTCCTGTCGACGAGCGGTTGTGCGGGGTGCCATCATGTCGTGGTATGCGGGTGTGTCCGTGTGCGAAGGAGTCGCGTGGTGTCGCGGTGCGAAGGAGGGTGTTGTACGGTGTCGCGGTGTGGTGGTGCGAAGGGGTCGCGCGTGTCTTGGTGTCGCGTTGTTGAGCCGTAGTTTCGTGGTGTCACCGTGGTCACCACGTGTGAACCAGTTTCCGTGGTGAACGGACGAGTAAGGTGGTGCATGGATCGCGAATTGCATGTGTACCAGATGTGACCTAGAACTGGCTCAGCTGTAATTCAGTTTTGAATCAACATTGCGTACATTGTGAACCAGTTGCGAAGCAATGGGTGTCTGTGTCGCAGTATTGTAACGTCGTTGCGTCGTTGTGTCGCGGTGTCGTGGCGTGGTTTCATAGCTTCCGGGTTTTGATGATTTGTGTTCCAATTCAGAGTCAAGTGTGATTCGGTTGCGGGTCGAGGATCAATCCATTGTGAAGGGAATGTGGCCTAGTTGTGAAGCAAGCGTTGGCAGAGCAGACCAATAACCAATCAGTTGTGGACCATCAACAATAGCGAGGCAATTATGTATCCAGCTGCCTGCGGCAAGACCCGCCACAGTGCCAGCACAGCAGCGCAGCATGAAGGAGGTTGAGTCTAGACTTCGCTTCAGTTCAGTGACCTTTTTGAGCTCGCTCGGGTCTTGACCACCCTCTCCTTATGAATGTTCTTCGTTCTTACTTATTATCTTTCTTCTTCCTTCCTCCTTTCCAGTGTCGAGAAGTACGGAGACAGGCGATGGGCGAAGAGATAACTAGACTGGAACCCCAGAGTTGTCCACAGACCGGGCGTCCCTGCAAGCGCTGGCGTGATTCGTTTTCCACGAGTTGAATGAGCCCGACACATTCCTAGACACGGTGGCGTGGCAGACTCCGCGGCGCATCCTGCACTCCCAGCCTCTCTCCTCCCTGCTTCGTCTTGAAAGCATCTTGGGGCTTCTTTGGGGGCCTCTCGGGGGCCTCTTGGGGTCTTGGAGGGCTTGCGGGACCCCGTGGAAGGTCCGTCGATGGTCGCGTGGCCGCCTTGGGTGCGATATTTTTTGCAGAGCTCTCCCGAAAAGGCTGAGTCTTGTGCCGTCTTGGGGACGTATGAGCAGGTCTTGGGGCCGTCTCGGAGCCCTCTTGGGCCATCTCGGGGCGTTCTCGCGCAGCCTCGGGGCTGTCTTGGGTCGCTCTTTGGGTTGTCCTGGGGGTGCATTGTGGCTCTCTGAAGATTTTCCCATGTGATTCTTATGCCCAAATGCGTCGGGAGCCAAACACATTGAATTCTTCATCGTGTTTCAATGCTTGTTCGCCCCTTGCGGCCTCGCTGAACGTCTCTCTGAACAGTTCCTGGACATTTCTGGTGGTCTCTTGGGGCATCTTTGGGAGATCTTGGAGCCCTTGGGGACTCGTTGGGCCGTCTTTGGATGCTTATTAGGCGTCTTGCAGTCGTTTTGGGAATGTCTTCGGTTGTCGTGGAGTCGTCTCGAGGCCGCAAAGAAAGCCGGGCAGCAAAGTTCGGTGCAGGGGCTTTCTGACCTGGGTTGAGTCAATAGGGGGTCAGCCCTGGAGAAACATAACATTTCCGACGTTCATGTAGGACTCCAAAACGTGCCGCTGGCACTGTGGTGGATCCATGAAGACCTACTCGTGAATCAAGCGCGAGTTGATTGTGGATGAATCGTGTGTAGAATGGCAGTCAATTCCAAAGCAACTCGGTGCCGGTGTTGTGGCGTCTTGGTGTCATGGTGCCGCGGAAGGCTGGAAGTTAGCTGCGAATGAGCCTTCTCGCCCGGCACTTCTTACAGTAGGCCGCCACCTGGTCCTGGAGCCGTCGTGGGTTGTTTTGGGGGCCGGTGCGGATCCTCCCTGGCGTTCTTAGAAGTTTCCAATTCGATTTGAGAGGACCTGGGCCGTCTGAGACTCATCGTGTGCACTTCTTAGACCACCTTGGAGGCCGTCTCTGCCCGTCTTGAGCATCTCTTGGGACTGTCTTGGAGCCGTCTTCGGGCCCTCCAGGGCCATGGGGTTCGCGTGGCCCTCCAGGGCCGCGTGGCTCTCCGTGCGCCTTTTGGGGCTTCTCGGGGCCGTCTTGGGGCCCTGTGGGGGCGGTGTTGGGAGGTCTCGGGGCCTTCTGGGGCTGCCTTGAGTCCCTCCTGGGGCTCTTTTTGGGCGTCTCGGGTCACCCTTGGGCTGCCTCGGGCTGCTCTTGGAGCTCTTTTGGCCGTCTTGGTGCCATTCGGGCCTCGTTGTGGTCCACTGGGCCGTCTTCGGGGTCTCCAGGGGTCGTCTCGGAGCCGCCTGGGGGCCCTGTTGGGCGCCGTCTGCAGCGCATCTTGGACCGTCGTGGGGCTCTCTTGTGCCATCTGGACGCCCTCCGAGAGTCTTCTTGGGGCGTGGTCTGCCGTTCTGAAGCCCTTGGTGGGCCACCTCGGGGTGATATTCTGGGGGCTCTTGGGCTTCTTTGGGCTTGGAAAGGCGGACGTTCTAAAATCATATGACAGCTTGGAATGAACCGTGTTTTTGGTTGTTTGTCTCTTGCGGGTTTCTTGGAGCTCTTCGGGCCTCTTGGGTCTGTCTTGAGAGTCTGGGGCCGCTTGGGGGTCATCCGGGGTCCACTTGAACGGTCTTGGAGCCATCTTGTAATTTTGTCAATCCGAAGCCCACGGGGGGGTGGTCAGGGAAAGTCAAGGCACGGGTGGTAGTCGGCCATCCCGCATCTTCAAGCGCGCAATTAGTGGTCTGGTGCAGGGGGCCAACAGTGGGGGAGATAACCTCACATGCCTGGAGATCCCAGAGGGGTCGGCGGGTTTTTGAACTTGGGCCTCTAAAGGCCCCTCGCGGACCCCAGGATCCGCACAAAAAAGATCACGAGGACCCCTCTTCTTCGACGTCCTTTTCGTCGGGCTCCTTACCGTCCTTCTTCGTCGTCGTCTTCGTCACCCTTTTTATTCTCCTCCTCCTCCTCCTCCTCCTCCTTCTCCTCCTCCTCCTCCCCCTCCTTCTCCTCCTCCTCCTCCTCCTCCTCCTCCTCTTCCTCCTCCTCCTCCTCCTCCTCCTCCTCCTCCTCCTCCTCCTCCTCCTCCTCCTCCTCCTCCTCCTCCTCCTCCCCCCCCTCCTCCTCCGCTTCGTTCCTCCTCGTACTCGTCATCCTCGATCTCGTCCTCCTCGTCCTCGCGCTTGTCGTGACCATCATCTTTCTCCTCCTTCCCCCCTACGAGCCCAATGAACATCATTGGCGCTTCCCGTTCTCGTCCGATCAGGTTTTTGATCTTGGGCCTCCAAAGGCCCTTAGCGGACCCCAGGATCCGCACAAAGCATCTCCCGGCGCAAAATCTATGCGAAAGATGGGGCCGTCAGCTCTGGAGCTCCTTGTTTCGAAAAGGCCAGGACGCTGGAGGTCTGTGGAGGCGTGTGGGTGGGGGGTGGGCTTTGACAGCCCTCCCCCCACTCTGTGGCCAGCAAGCAGAGAGTGCGGTGCGGCTGGTGGCATTTGCTGAGCCCGACCCTGAACCTGGGCCTGCGTCTCGCCCCAGCGCGTGCGCGCGCGCGGTCGAGGAGCCCTGGCATCGGTACCGAGCTGGGCCGATGGTGTTTCTGTTCTACCTCGCCGTCGCTTCTGGGTCCTCTGGTCGCTGCCCCGCTTTTGATCGACGGACAGCCCACCCCAGCGTCTGAGTTCAATTCTCTCCTGTAAGGAGGTGGGGGAGCAGGATGGCGAGGGTAGGATGACCGCGAGGAGGAGGAGCTGGAGGAGGAGGAGGAGGAGGAGGAGGAGGAGGAGGAAGAGGAGGAAGAGGAGGATGAGGGGAAGAAGTTGGGATTGATGGAGGAAGGAGGAGGAGGAGGAGGAGGAGGAGGAGGAGGAGGAGGAGGAGGAGGAGGAGGAGGAGGAGGAGGAGGAGGAGGAGGAGGAGGAACAGCAGCAAATAAAGAGGATCCTTAGTAGCAGCCCGCCTTGACGAACTCCAAAGTTAGAGTCTAGAAGAGTTCCGGGATAATGGCTTCGACGTTCTCCCGCGCCCTCGCGATGGTTTCCAGCACCACCCGCCGAGAAGCCAAACCTGTCAGCATGCCTCTAGACTAAGAGAATGCATTTGACCGGGAACTGCGCTCCCAACCTTCTGTTTCTCATCGTAGGTGGAGTTCTCTGTTTGGCTTCTCGTGCTCCTCCCATCCCGCTCCCAGCACGCCCGACATGCCGTACTGTGTGGCCGTGTTCGTGCCCGACACGCGGGACTCACTGCAGCGGGTGGTGTCTCCGGCCGAGGTGGTCATACTGGACGTTCGGGAGTCCTCTGTGGTGCCGAAGGCGCCTGAGGGTACAGCGAATCCTCGCCCTGGCCATTTCCCTGCCGCTTCTCCTCCTCTTACCCCCTAACCCCCTTTCCCTCCTCCACCTCCCCCCTTTCCTCGCCCCCCCTGGCACCCTGCCCCACCCCGTGCCACAACCTGTACCCCGATCTGTTGCTCGTGAGGCAATACGCAGTGCAGGTACAAGCGGCGACGCAAACACAAAAGACAGTGTGTCGCCCCCTCCGCAGCATTTGCAGCAGGCCGAGGGGGTACGGGAATGCTGAAAGGGCCCATTGCATTCCACAGTTGCGCATAACTTGATCAGTTGCACACAGTTTGCTCACTCGTTGTACGGATCCCCTATATCACGCATGCACGTCGCATTGATTTTCCCAGACCGTGCGCCGTCCGTTCACGGGGCAACCTTTTGTTTTGGTCGGTCCGTCTGTTTGTCTGCAGGCCAAGTGCTATCGCGTTTTCCCGATTGAATGCATCTTCGAGCGCCCCTCGATTTTTCGGGCCTTGGTGGTATTGCTAACCACAGTCTCAATGGCTAATGCAATCTGTGCCCTTGATATTTTCTGCAGTTGTCTTTTACTTCGCCCAGGTCAACGGCCGATTATACCGCCAATGCCTCGACGAGGTAATCAGTATGTCCCCCCTCGGGGAGTTCCTCTGTCGTCATTTTCAATGGATGCTTTTCATTTTTTGATATATATATATATATGTGTATATATATATATATACACATACATATGGGAGATCGCGGGCCCCGGGCCCCGGGCAGCAACCACCCTTGTGTATGCGTGGTTCCCTCCCCTGGCCGTCCCCAGGGGCTCCCAGACGGCCCCCAAACGGACCAGGACAGCTTGGAGACGGGCCCAGGAGGCGCCCAGTGTGGTCCAAGAGGGCCCAAGAAGCCCCCAAGACGCTCCACGACGGCTCCAGAGGCCTCCAAAGACGGCCCAAGAGGCCTTCAGGAGGCACCCCATAAAGGCGCCAAGAGGCACAAATCATTGATTCTCCATATGAAAACGTATATTTTTAGCAGATACATTTTTTCGGCATTCAAGGCGTTGAAGTGGTCGAAGAGACCCCTACGATCGCCCCAAGACGGCCCAAGAGGTTCCCAAGAGGCGCCGAAGACGGCCCAAGAGGGCGCCAAGACGGCCCAAGAGGCTCCCAAGACGGCCCAAGAGGGCCCCAAGACAGCCCCAAGAGGGGCCGAAGACGGGCAGCCCGAACCCAGAATCCGAGCCTTCCGCCCCAAAAAAGGCCCCAGGATCCCCCAAGACGCTTCCAAAAGGCCCCCAAGAGGGCCCCAAAAGGCTCCCAAGTGGCTTCGAAGGGGCGCTTAAGAGGTCCCAAAATGGCCCCAAAGGGGCCCCAAGAGGCACGGGCGGCGGAAAGTCGGCGAAGGCAGTTTCGATACCATGCCGGGCCCAGCTGGAGGAGGCGCAGGGTGCCAAGTCCGAGCGCGCAGGCAGCTCGCATCGCGCTCGGCATTCGGGGGAGCCCCGGTGAGCCCGCACCGACGGCCCTCTCTGGCGAAGGGCCACTCTTACTGACGTGTGGTCGGCTCGGGGGGCCTCGAGACCGAAGGGTCTCGCCCTGCAGGGATGTGGGCGGACCTGGGCCAGAAGCACATCCTTCGTGTACCTGAGACCCTCCGCCGGCCAAAACAAGCAGAACCTCCAAGGGTACCCCCCCAGCATGCATAAGAACGCCCGGCAAGCAAGAAGAACATGGGAGGAGGAGCGGGAGAAGGAGGAGGAGGACTGGGAGGAGGGGGATCGGGAGGAGGACAAGCTAATTAGGTGCGCTCGCGTCATATCTAATGTCCTACCCCTCCCCCCCATCCCTTACCATCCGGGACGGCCCATGAGGCCCCCAAGGGAGCTCAAAGACGGCCCAAACAGGGCCCTAGACAGCGCAAGAGACGCCCTAGACGGCCCCAGAGAGCCCCAGGAGGAGTCCAAGAGGGGTCCCAGAGGAGAAAAAACAAATCGAAATTTCGAAACGGAACCCCCCAAGACGGCCCAAGAGGCCCCGAAGCTGGCCCGGGAGGCCCCCGAGACGGCCTCAGGGAGGCCCAAGAGGGCCTCGTTCGAAATCATGTTCCCGGAAGCCTCTCCAGGAACATGATTTCCACCTTCCGAGGACGCCCAAGAGGCCCACAAGACAGCCTCAGCGAGGCCCAAGAGGGCCCGAGATGGCTTGAAGATGGCCGAAGAGGGCCCCAAGAGGCCCTTCAAGAGGCAAACATCGGCCCATTTCCTTTGTAAAACGTGCATTTTCAGCATACTCCCTTGCTTCGTCTTCGCAGTGCCCCAGACGCCCCCGCGGAGCCCCAACACAGCCCAAGAGAGACCCAAGAGTGCCCAAGACGGCCCAAAAGGGTCGTCCTGTGGGGCTGACGGAACCCCCCAAGATGGCCCAAGAGGCCCCAAAGCCGGCCCAGGAGGTCCCCAAGACGGCCTCAGGGACAATGTGTCAAGCTTGAACATAACATTGTGGAAGGATTGAATGCCCAGTCTGAGAAGTATGATCAGTTGAGAAAGGACATGACCGACCAGCTCGAAGTCCAGCGCAAGAGCATTATTGGCGAACTCGGCTTACGGGCGGATAAGTTTGAGCGGGCCAGAAACGCAATCGACGACCAGCTCCAGAGTCAGCTAAAGAAGGTGCTTGATGAGTGCAGCTCGCAGACTCAGAAGCTTAATCAAACCAAGAACGACATCGATGAGTTGGTTCAGAATCAGTTTCAGAAGGTGAGTGACGAATTCAGATTGCATTCTCAGAAGCTTAACCAGACCAAGAAGGACATCGATGGATTGGTTCAGGCTCTGCCCAGGAAGGTGAGTGAGGAATTCAGCCTGCATTCTCAGAAGCTTAGCCAAACCAAGAACGACATGGATGAGTTGGTCCAGAATCTGCCCAAGAAGGTGAGTGAGGAATTCAGATTGCATTCTCAGAAGCTTAACCAGACCAAGAAGGACATCGATGGATTGGTTCAGGCTCTGCCCAAGAAGGTGAGTGAGGAATGCAGCTTGTATTCTCAGAAGCTTTCCCAAACGAAGACTGAAATCGATGAGTTGGTTCAGAATCAGCTCAAGGAGGTGAGTGAGGAATCCAGCTTGCATTATCAAAAGCTGAACCAGACCAAGAACGACATCGATGCGTTGGTTCTGACTCTGCCCAAGAAAGCGACTGATGAATTGTTGACGCTTCGCCTATCCCCACCAGCCCATCCAGAAACGATGCCCAGGGGAGTTGAGGTGATCAGGGAAGTCGGGGAGCATGCAGAATAACAAAGGGCGGGGGAAGCTGTCACGTACCCCAAGAGGGGGAGGATGGAGAAGGAATCCTCGTCGGAGGGGGAGGGGGAGGAAGAGGAGGAGGAGGAGGAGGAGGAGGAGGAGGAGGAGGAGGAGAATGAGGAGGAGGATGTGGAGTAGGGAGAGGACGAGGAGGACGAGAAGGAGGAGAAGGAGCAGAGGGAGGAGAAGGAGGAGAAGGAGGAGAAGGAGGAGGAGGAAGAGGGGGATGAGAAATTGAAGAGGACGGCGAACCGAAGAGCCAGAAGCGTCTTAAATGCATTTCGGAGATCCTCTTGAGGCTTCTTGGGGGTCTCTTGGGAGCCTCTTGGAGGCCTCTTGGGCGCCTCTTGGGGCCGCCTGGGCGCCTCTTGGGGCGCTCTTGGGGCGCTCTTGGGGGCTGTAGGGGCGCTCTTGGGGCCATCTTGGAGGAGATCGATCAACGAAGGGGGGTTCCCTAATTAGCCTCCCCCCTCAGGAGCTCCAAGCATCGCCTCTTGGGGCGCTCTTGGAGCGCTCTTGGGCGCTCTTGGGGCCGTCTTGGGGCTCTCTTGGGCCTCTTGTGGGGCCCTCTTGGGCCATCTTGGAGCCATCTTGAGGCCTTGGATGGCCATCGGAAGCGAAACGGGGAGAAAGCAAACCACATTGATTTGCTAAGGTTTTGGGGCGATGTTGGCCTCTTCGGGGCCTCCTTGGGGGAGCTCTTTGGCCACTTGGAGCCGTCTTGGGGCCGTCTTTGGGCCTCTTGGAACCATCTTAGGAGCCATCTCGAGCGATCTTGCGCTATCTTGAGCCATCTTGGAGCTCATCTTGGGCTCTCTGACGCGCTCTTGAAGCCATCTTGGGGCCAAACGAGCCGTCCGACCGCTCGGGGAACCCTCCGTCCAGGTCCAGGGGGGGGGGGGGGGGGGGGTGCGGGGTGGGGGGAGGTGCAAACCCCAAGGGGGAAGAGGGGGGGGTGGAAGAGGATCTGTTCTAGACCACCCACGCCCAGAGGGCTGGTGAGGTTAAGCTTGCACTCCCAGCAGCTTGCCCAAACCAAGAAGGACATCGATGAGTTGATTCAGAATCAGTCCAGGAAGGTGAGCGACGAATGCAGCTTGCACTCGCAGCAGCTTGCCCAAACCAAGAACGACATCGATGAGTTGATTCAGAGTCTGCCCAGGAAGGTGACTGAAGAATTCAGGCTGCACTCTCAGAAGCTTACCCAAACCAAGAACGACATCGATGAGTTGGTTCAGAACCAGCTAAAGAAGGTGACTGAGGAATGCAGCGTGCACTCTCAGAAGCTTACCCAAACCAAGAATGGCATCGATGAGTTGATTCAGAATCAGTCCAGGAAGGTGAGCGAGGAATACGGCTTGCACTCGCAGCAGCTGGCCCAAACCAAGAACGACATCGATGAGTTGATTCAGAGTCTGCCCAGGAAGGTGACGGAAGAAGTCAGGCTGAACTCTCAGAAGCTTACCCAAACCAAGAACGACATCGATGAGTTGGTTCAGAACCAGTTAAAGAAGGTGACTGAGGAATGCAGCGTGCACTCTCAGAAGCTTGCCCAAACCAAGAATGACATCGATGAGTTGGTTCAGAATCAGTTCAGGATGGTGAGTGGGGAATGCAGCTTGAAGCTCAGCCAAACCAAGAGTGATATCGATGAGTTGGTTCAGAATCTGTCCAAGAAGGTTAGTGACGATGCGTC